ACAACCCACTCACAGCCGCTACGAGTATCCATTCCTTATAGCATACCATGTAACACGGTACCATCTACGTACAGTTAAATGCACAGTTGAGATTGTAAATGTTAAGATATTTTATAGGCTCAGCTGGATCTTCCTTAAGTACGATCTATGCAGCAAAAAACAATTTAAGTATAGCGCATTCGCGACTTATCGAGTATCATATGTCGTCAAGCAATTACGCAGCTAAAACATTTTGCAAGCAGCAAAAACTGCCCTAGCGGCTCCAGTTTTAGCACAGGATATCGTTGGCACAATTATTGTAAATGGTACACAAGACGATTATAAAAATGTTCGACGTTTATCAAAAACGTCATTTCCTTCTCTTTGCCTTACAATCTCCATTTTCAGCCGCTACTTGTCGAGTAAGTAGAATATAAAAATGAAAAAATCGTTTTTCATCGCTTTTTTATTATCGATGTCTTTCTTTCCACGCTATTTATAGGTGCATAAGTTCTTGTTCTTTAATTGCCATTAGAAGCTTTACGGATCCACTCTGACGTTGTTTGATATCTAGTGGTGCATTATGTTTTTAAAAATGGAGAATATATTCTACTTCCACACCCAATATCGATATAGAGTGGCCCAAGAGCGCTCTATATTGATATTGGGTGTGGAAGTAGAATATATGATAAGTCGACGTCAAACGCTTGTTTTGCCTATTACTCGCAACAAAAGCTAAAAGTGTACGCTGATGACTTCAGCAGCCTCAACGCTGTACAAACCTCATCGATGTAGCCCTTAACAAAATCTTGACGTTAAAGTAACCTTGACTTATTGATAACAGAGCTTACCTAACAACAAAAAGGGGATGAATCTTATTAAATAATTGAATCTTATAGGTACATTTAGTTATAGCTGAACTACATGTCCCAAATAGATTGGTCTTACCAAGAACCAAGGCCATCTATAGTACAGTAGGGTCCCCCTTAAATCATACGGCTGGGACCGCCAAATTTTGATTAAATAAGGAAACTGTGAAATAGCAGAGTTAGGGGGGATAGGGTTGAAGCGAAACCTCTGGCCCCTTTGCTATTCCTCGTGGTGGTCGAGTTGTTGGAAATTGCAGTTCAGTAGTCTCCCACCTTGAAAGGACTCCCGGTCCCAGGTAGCCGTACTCAAACGCACCGCTTCTCAGCGTTTGTCGACGACTCCACGATTTTTCTCGAGCAAGCGAATCAGCTGGCACCGGCTCTTGCCCTAGTATCACGCTTTGGAGCCTTATCTGGACTGAAATCCCAGCCGTCAAAGAGCAAAATCATACTCTTGAACACAGGGGTGCAGATGCGAGAAATGGTTGGCATTTCGGTGCTACACCAGACAGAAACAGTAAGGTACCTGGGCTATGAGGTTGGTCTAGGTGCCTTACATAATCGCAATTGGGCTTTAAGGATTCGAAGGCTTCAACGGCGGCTAATCACAGCTTCCAGGGTCGCGACTAGTGTGGAGAATCGAGTGTTGATTCTAAACTCCATCATTCGTCCAGCCATTTTATTCACGGCAGCGGTATTCGACATCCCAGAATGGGCGAGGCAGGCAATCCAAAATTTGTACAAACAATTTTTGTGGGCTCATGCCACTTCGACAGAAGCTAGCAGGCACAAGATCAACCCAGGACTGCTACTCACTCCGAAACACGCAGGCGGAGTAGGGCTGGCTTCATTCGAGGTCGTAATCAAAACTCAGCACACGAAACATGCACTGCGGTGGCTAACGCAAGCCCAGGACAAGTATTTTGCCTCTTGGTGTCACTGGGCTTATCAAGGTAGGCCAACTTCCTCCTCCCTGGTCCTGTATGGAAGGGGTATACCAGGGATAACATCTTCTTGCACTTCGAAGCCGTCGAAACTGCATGGATACAAGACATGGACAAGCTTTTGCAACCCACGAAGGAGCAATTGAATTTCATTCGAGATCGCGTCCGCATGCACTATTCGACTTTGCTCGAAGGAGCCAGTAGCTGGTGGGAAGAAGATGAATGGGTATTATCTTACCATCACCCTTTTCCGGAAGCATTAGCATCCAACGACGTCCAAGTACTGGCACTGCACCGCTTTTGGGGAACGTTCGGATGGAGTAACAATTCGTGGATTCGCGACGGGCAGGGTCGGCAGCTTGTACGCTCCAAATACGACCGGATAGCTGACTGCTCCATCTCGGACTTGCACATTCGCAGAACAGGACCGAAAGAGTTTATCTTCAGTATCTCACTGGCTGGACCTGCCTCTAAGCATCACTATCAGCCGAAGTTAAGGCGCTGGGCTACATCTATCTTGCTCGCTTCGCCTTCTATTCGAATTGGGTAGGAGTTAGCGCTGGACCCGAAGTTAGCACTTCGTCATGCGCCTTCGTTTCGGTATCATTTTGACTTTTCGACGGTGCAACATGGTTACGTCGTCGGGAATAGACGGGAGTCTGCGGATAACGGGTGTGAGCACGTCGAATTGCGGCAAAGTGCCAACGGATTTAGATGGTTTTTTTACCACATCATTACCTGAGTTGGTTACTGAAACTGTCGCTGAGAGGGACATTTGGATAAGCCGACTGCGGTTACATCGTGTCGTGTTTTATTCACATCCTGATCATTATCGATTTCCCTGGGCTGTGGCCAACACGGTGGCGAACGTTTCGATTAGGGCGCCAATTGCATGGCTAGCGTTCAGACTTCACAAACGACTGCTTGCTGTCCCTTTGAAAGGGCTGATCCAACGGTTGAAAGAAGTCATCAGCAAGGATGGCTGGTTGCGTGCAGCAGCTCATCGACGCCCGTCTCAATTTTGGAACCATACTAATGGCCTTTCGGATTTTCAAGTCAGGACTTGCTACAGAATCGCCACTAATCAACTTAACCTCTACCATGATGGTCGTCGCGCTGAAAAAAGCTGTCGAGCGCTGGTGGAGTGTTGGGGGCGTAAAGAAACGTCGGCTCACATCTTTTGGGAATGTTCAAAGGCGCGCGCCTGCTGGAGGCGACATATCTGTCACTGGACGGGTCTCCGAGATGTGAGGTCTGTTGATGAGACCTGGTATTTTGGCAGTGTGAATCGTCAGGCTCCTGCATTACCGGCAAGGCAGCGACAACGCCTACATGAACATTTACAAGACGACTTGGAAGCAGGGGTCATGGTTTGGAATCGCATATGGTTTATTATGTGTAGCGTCTGTTTAACTCACTTATGGAGTGAACGAAACGACGCAGTGTTTCAAGGTGTGCGGACGACGGTTATTCACAGCGTCACCCGTTTTTGGAAGGTGGGGATTCGGCATCTCAGCGCGTTAGCGAAACGCGAACATCGTGGTCCCTACACAGTCGTCGCCGGGGCTCTCTTACATGCCTGTCTTGACCTCTTCACTCTCGAACCGCGGGATGAGGTGGTCTTCGCAGGAAGCAGCTACGACAAGCTACCGGATCCGGAGCTCTTGTCCTGGCTCCAGAGTTTTCAGACATCTTGTACGTAGGTAAATGTTAATAGACTGTCATTAAATCTCTCTCTCTCTATGGTTGAAGCGAAAGGTTCTACACGTGTTATAAAGGAGAACGATAGTGTGGCCGCACCGCCAGTTTCTCTTCGAAATGCGACATGGATGCTTGCAGAGCTCAAGACTTCCGATTGCAGCAGGAGACTGGAGAGGAGTTCTTAGGGATAATTTAGAAAATGCAGGATCAGATGGTATACTTTGCAAAATCCCTCAAGCATCAAACTCTGGATAATTGTTTGTAGTGGTTCCCCGGCAGTAGTTTAATATTTGAATGTCGAAAAATATTCTGGCCTTAAATCAAGGGAGTTTCTGATACTTGGCCTGGGCCCAACTTGAGACTCGACATTTTTATTAAGTAAGGGAGGTTAAACAATTGGCTACTAAAAACTGCACTGTAGAAATCGACCCCTACCACTGTCGCCGGATACAAATCCTTCCCATATCTCCTTTTTTAGTAAAATGTTACCAGGTTTGCTCCCTCTATTAACTGTACGTCCGATAGATGCCAATCCTCACTATTTTAAAGAATTGGACGTCGACCGGTTTCGTTCTATGGTTGTTCAGTGGTCACCTACCCGTACCTTATAATTAATTGCCATGAAGCGAGATATAAGTGTATAGATGGAATATTCGTACCAATTCCATGATAAGAAACCTATTCAATCCAAGCAATGAGGGTGGTTCGTGTGGCGTTGGCGCTGAGGATGTCAATCGAAGGCTGCGGAGTAGCTTGTAAGCAAAACGGTGGGTTTCTGTGGGACCCATAATGCGTGGTACAGACGCTACCCGAACTGGGAATCTTCTCGCACTCGGTCACTCTGTCTGCAATTGCCTCCTTCTCGGCTTAGCCCCTTCTATTCATTCCTTCCCTCCTACACTGCGCTCAGAATCTCTTGATCATTGAGCTCTGGCAGGGCTTTATAGTCTTTTTCAATAGAGTTAATTAGATCTTAATGGAGAGTCAGTTCGAGATCATACTTTTTTATAACGGAGAACAACAACCCCAGCAAACGACAAGGATGGCTAAGTGCGTCTGACCTTGATACGCAACCTGAACAAATGATACAAGCAAAAATTAAGGAGCTTTGGTAGTGGTCTCTGGGGCTATAATCCCGCTGGTTTGGGTAAAATAAAACGGGGGATTCAAGAGGAGTGAGTGGTGCTGGATATGGGTTTCATTTTTCGATCCTTTGAATTTTGACTAGCCTATAGAATTTCTGGCACATATTTATTTAGTTTTTATTACTCTAATAAACAATCAAATTTGATCGCTGCAATTTAATTGGTATTATTTCCCATGTGCAAGGCCACCATATTTCGATAACTAACAGCCTCCGCCAACTTCCAGAAAATATGACTGCCACAGCTGAATGTAAGTAAGGAAGAGCTGATTTAGATTAGAAGTCTACCATTGTCATCTACTCATTTGTACGTCAGCGTGATATATTGTCGAGATGTGTATTCAAGGCAGACAACAAACGCGCCTAGACGCAAGCAATGTTGTGCTTGAAGACACTGGAAGCGCACTTCTCAGTCACGTACTCTAAATAGCCCTCATTATAAAAAGTAGTAGGCCTGAAGATGGACCAACCTTCCTTCTTATTCAGCTCCAGCTCGCGAAGCGTTTGACTGCGAGTCCTGTGATCCACAAAAAAAAGCCGGGCGTAATCCGCGGCGTACCAAAACATGCGATGATTCGGTTTACCGATGGACTTGGCTGCGATGTCTAGGAATCTTTCGGAGCTGTCATCGTTCGCGCTGGCACGCGCCATACCAGGATGGTCATCATAGCTGGCCATCACGTCGTTGCCTTTGCCATCCAATGCATCTGCCGGCGAACCAGTCTCAGGCGTCCGCACATGATCGCGTCGTTTCGTGGTGTTCACGTTGGTATCAACGACAGCGTCGCTGGCCATTGCAGGCGAGGTCTCGTGAGACGCTATGAGGTTTTCGGATGCCGAAGCTGCTTTGACGACATTACCACAAGCGGAAAGGCAAACCAATGCCACGAACAGAACGATCGATGGACGCATCGGATGACAAACAAAGGCTGTCACCAGTGTTAGCGAGTGATGATGCGGCGACTTGTGAAGGGTGTATATTGCATATTTGCATTAGTTGTATTGTTCTTTGGCAGGTTTATATTTTGGGATGTTAGCGAAACGACAAGTCATCGGATTGGCTCAGTCGTTTGGGAAGCGGGATTCCACGCGGGTGAGTGCGGGTTCGATCCCCGCCGTGAACAAGTTAATTGTGACTGACACTCACGACCTGGTGTTTGGGGTTCACCAGAACTGTGACCCGCCCGCATTTACGTCCCCCACCCACGCAATCGTTTTCATTCTGCATATGACACAGCAGAGTTTTTACGAAAGGTATTTACGAGACGTAATTACCCAGGGATAGGTAAAACAGAAAGCGGTGGAGACAGGGCACGAAATAGGTGGCTGAGAGCCACCGGCTACTACTAGCCATTCGTTTTCGAAGCTAGGAACAATTTGAATAGAACTCACTTTTCGGTTTTCATCCCCGGCCGTAAGCCATCTTCTTCTTCTCATCAGCTCCGCAACCTGGTTAATTCTAACAACCAGAAGACGGTAAGCTTAAGACGGTAAATTGCGGAATGCTGGGTGCCCACGACAAATGATTGGTCTGAGTCTTTAGCGGCTGGGAGATCCAGAATCCGACAGCAGAGATCGACCAATCTCCGCTTCAAGCTGGTCTGTGGGACTGTTTTTGTCCTTTTGGACAAATTCTTGACGGCAGTTCTTTAGAGGATACCTTCGTATTCAGCCATCTATTTCAGTTGCCGACATGTTGAAGTTTACATCCGATGTCGTGAGCAAGTGTAGCAACCACAACATGAGGTTGAAACGTGTTAGTAGTTCAGTGCCACCGTCCTTTCGAGTCATTTTACTGTAAATTGTAATAGCTCACAATGTGCTTGTTGTGCGAGTAATATAGGAAGAGGACAGCTCGTAGTTGGTACTGTCCGTGTCCATGCATAAGCTCAGCGACACCTGATGAGGTTTCAGGTACGTTGCATTCAGAAGCACAGCGACTGTCTATCCAAGACACGTGTTAGACACAAAACGATGGCTGATCCCCATCTACTACATCGGCTCAATCAGATCAGTTTCGATGGGCTCTATGGTGTTCCCATCGTGGCATCTGGTCCCAAAGCAGGTCTTTATCCAGCCGTCGCATCGTCGACAAGCCATAGTCCAACGCTGCGCCGTAATCATACTACAAAACGTAGACTGGATTCAACACAACTTACCGCGTTCGAAGTGGGTATATTGACTCGATCGTTTACGAAGCCGTACGTCTCTGGCTTCTGCTGGTATTCCCCGTGTCATCTGGCTCGTCCGTGTTCAAAGCTAGACATGACTCTCGCGTAACTGTCCCGAGTTGTTGTTTGGTGGTTAGTCTTTCATACTTGGCTCGCGACAAACTACATTAAGCATCACGGCGGGGGAGATCAGCAGGGCTTGGATACAAATCTGGTGGATAGCGTGCTACATCTGCTTCGCCACCCTATGGCACAGCGAAACCGCTGGGTGCACAATCACGAGGAAACATCCGCTGACTAAGCAGAAACCGAACTACGACAAACACTGCTTCGACATCTACAAGCAGTAGCGGTCAGGGAACACCGGCTCAACCGCGACGAGGACGGCATTTCCGGCGAGCGACAGAAGTCTTTTCAACCCAGTTCCTGTGCGACCGTTTACTCAATATGACTCCGGACGGCAGCCCACACCGCCGGTGGGGGTGCTCGAGCGGCTAGGGACTTTACAGCAATCTTGCAAACCGTAGAGGTAGTAAGACAGCCTGTTTCTCTCTCAAGTACATTAAGCGTGAACGATACGTTCAGTTTTCTTGCGCTGATGTCTCTCGTTCTCGATATGAAGGTGTCATCGTTTTACACATCGCATACGCTCATGATCGACGTCCGGACCAACAGCCATTTAAAATCGGCGAGCATCTAATCTGCATAACATCCAGCGCCACTTCTCCTGCATATCCATGCTCTATCCAGCAACTGTCGAGGTCGTGTCACCCATTGCAACCAGCATATATTCGTAAACGTCTCCGGGCTTCCATGTACGCTAGGCGGACTGCCTGCCAATATTGGATCAGCGTATCTCTGTGTTGTCGGCATCGCAGTAATGGCTCTATATTGTGGTATCTAGCGTTGACAAAGGGTGTAAGTTTTGGTGCCAGTTTGTCTTTTTACCGAGAATTTTGTGTACAGTTTAATCCGTTTTGATATCATAGGTATGCAAAATGAAGACTTTCAAGGCTCGGCGTCACTTGCTTTTAATGAGAAATCAAGACGCGCTGCTGAGAAATTACTATTATGCAGTAACGACAGCAATAACGACGCTTAATCGTGCTCCCGCAAGATGTAATGTCTATAAGAGCCACGCCTATATCAAAGGTGTGCACTAAACCACGTTATATTCGATCTTGTTATGGCACAGCATGGGATGAGGACTAATGGAAGCGACGGACAGCAGTCAGAAGAGCTTAATTTTCTGTCCAATCAAAAAATATTATTTAGTCATACTCATAGAAGAGCGCCACAGTAGCGCAATAACTCGGGGATAACTCGAGAAAAGTTATTATAACGTTATTCCGCCTACGTTTTGAAGATCTGCGACACCCATAGTTGCAAGTCATAGGCTAAGGTTGATAAAGGGACAATGAAATTGAAGTTGACGACGTAGTTCTAAATGAAGTACACAAGCAATATTATACCGTTGAGCCTAAATAAGGATCAAAATAAATTGAACAAAGGCGACCGCAACTACTCCAGTCATGTTCAGCCAAAATTAAGTTATTCTATCTTTTCATACCGGCTGCTGTAAATTTTTTCAGCGTATGAATTTTGAGAGATAGTTGTACTAGTCTCTGATTGGTGCGCAAATGCTAAGTCATACTTTCTGCTGGAGACACGCTTAGAAATATGTACTGACATTCCGAATCTGCTCACTGTTTTGAACGCGAGCGCACAGTACGGGTTGCTCATCCATTGGTCGGACATGACGATAAAGGGGCGATGAGCAATGATAAACACGAGTTAAGTAGTAATTGATATGTTAAGAAGCTTGTTGTAGTTTGTACATACTGCAAGAATGAAGATGGAGGACCAGATACCGCCAAGCAATTATCTGATACTCAAGTAGCTCTCCTTGATTACCGTTTGCCGCTTTGAAGAGCATGCAATCTTTAGTGGAAAAACACAGTGATCATTGGATTACGAGAGTTAGTGGTGCATTAGCTTGCAGAAAACGACGGTTTGCCATCTCGCTAAATGTAATCGGCAACAACTCGTATCCATCACTTCCAGACACAGCATATTCTTTTCAGTGACTTCCTGCCATTACAAGACAGACAGGATCGAAATTTTATGCATACTTCGTGTCACGAGGATCCCTTGTTTGGGGCGCCGCGAAACTCTACGTACACTAGTATGTGCAGAGGAAGCTTATCTACTCAACAGTTATGTTGAGTACAGGGTACAAGAGACCTGTATTCAATATAGTTAAGCTATCAATAAAACTTTAATCTTAATCTAACTATTTTAAACTACGTCGTCGTACGACGACAACCTGCTCACCACTCACTGCGCGCGCCTTGCATCGATTGGAGGTAATCTATGGTTGATTTGTCTTTTATCAACCAATCTTTGAGCAGCGCATAAAAATTCTCCTAAAAGGGGATTATCTTCCGTCAATATTATCCACCTCGGATAAAATTGGTAGAATGTTGTCATGCTAGACAGTCTCCCTATTGACACCGTTTGGTGTCAATATCATGTAACGGGCTACCCCGTTACATCACCCTCCCCCTTTACCCTCAATCACCCGTTGATTAAATAGAATCGATTGGGACAGGGTGACCACCGTTGGATCACTCTGGGAATTGGAGTACTTGTTGGTCGAATTCCACTCATTTGCCAATCCAACGCATTGTTTCCAAATTTCAAGCGAGTTGCTACTGTAGCAGCAAGAAAGGCGGCTGCACGCATGCTTGCAGCCGGAGAGAGTACTTCTCACACCTCATTAGCAGGTGGTTCTTTGCCTGCTGCTGTGAACAGTCCACGTGGTGAGTCACCACGTGCGACAGGTACATCCGCTGCGTCTGCAGCGGGTAATGCGAATCGTAATCCAGACGATTCTGAAATAGAGCTTATCTCTATTCCGGTGGGTCGGATGATGTATCCGACTCGAAATCGAGACCTCACGCCTCCGGATCACCCGGGGCGGACACTGCTAGAGCCAGGATGACTGGATCTAGTCAACGTGGGGGCATCATGCGAAAAATCGTTGAATCGAGCGATTGTTCCGACGAATCCTCGCCTCACGCGAGTCCATCCAATGATAGGAAGCGTAGGGATGGTGGTAATGCACCTATACATCACCACGAGCGAAGTACCTCGAGGGATCGAAGTGTCACTGGTGTCAGTGCTCATGCTGACACCAATCAAGAGGCCAGGGACCGAAATGTCCTGCACCACGCTCCTCAAGTGAAGTCTCCTTGGATGCCGTCATCCAATGAGCTGGACCGGTTGGCCGGAATGACTACCGAACGGGATCGAATCCCGTTGTTCAATTGTAGGAAGATTTGCCCACCTGATTCCAGCACGGAAACTATCCGTGCTGAGGAAGAATTATTTACAGATGCATTCTTTAAACACCAATGGTACAATGGCAGCCGTGTTCGAAACGGAAAGGCCTTGGTGCAAGGATGGAATGCCCTCATCCATAACATCGAGTGCATTGGCCGTGAGGCCTGGCTCGGTAAAAATGATGCAGCTCGCATCAGGTTTGAGAAGCTTAACCCAGTCGGGGTGCGATATAAGTTGCACCGACCGTCAAGAGAGGCAGGACTACCCTGTCTCTCGTGG